GCAAGGGGAACTCCCTCAGCGGGGTGGAGGCAACCTAGGCTCTTTGTCCCCTCGGGACCCAGGCTCTTCTGCCCGTCGGGAAGACCCTTCTCGTGAAGGTGGCCCTGTCCGCTCCCAAGGCTTCGGCATCCAGCGTAGGGTGTCAGGTGGGGAGGCCTGGAGGGCAGGTACATGTGGAAGAGGAAGTAGGGCTCCATTCATACTGGGAAGTCAGGAATAGAAGGGCAGATTTGGGGGTAACTCGAGAATTTGGACTTCGGGACCTGGGGGTTTCTCCCTCACCTGCTGGTGAAGGTCGATGTGCTGGGTGCGGAAGACACCGCTATAGGTGGAGGGTGGGGCTTTGAGACGGGAACTGAGGCCAGAGAAAGACCTAGAGGAGGAAGAGTGTTTAAGGAGAGCTGAAGACCTGGCCCTGCCCCCCCAAAGTAAGGCCTTGGGGCTGGGCAATCTGTATCCCCAGTCCCTTCTCTTGCCTTCCAGCTGGGGGAGTACGTGATGAACCGGGTCCCCCAAGGTTGCTGCTCAGTTTTCGATAATCCTGGAACGGCTTTAGCTCTACTGGGTGAAGCTGAAGGAAGAAAATTCATGAGCCTCCTGTCTCTCAACCCGTTCATCTTGAGATAATGAACCCCTACCCCTAACTCTTGGAGTTGCCTAGCACTACAGTTCCTGTACCTTACCTCTGCTCGCCCCAAGCTAGGGGGGAAGGGCCTGGCAGGTGAAGGCAGGACCCGAGGAGCAGGTGGGGGCCGCACAGCCAAACTGGGAGGCTGCAGAGCAGGACCCACAGGCAACAGAGAAAGGGGGGGTGGGGCAGGAGGTGGCGCTGGTGGCAGGGAGCCAAAGTTCACCATAGGCAGCTGTGAGTCCACCATGGGTAGAAGCATCTGTAACAAAAAATACGGGTCTGTGTTGGGGGCAGAAAGAAATGTCAGAAAACTCAAGATAGAGTAAAATTAAAAAAGCCAGAGATTGGACAGAGAAAGAGACAGAAGGGGAAGAGGACAGATAAAAGTACCTGCTGGGCAGGGGCCCCTGAGGGGAGGTAGCCACTCTGGCCACCAGGTTGCAGAGGAGTCGAATAAAAGTCTGAGGGGGATGGAAGATCCTGGCGCACCTGCTGGGCAATGGGGAGAAGTATGTCAACTCCCCCAAAAGCATTCTCCTCCATCACCAGCTCCCTAAGCGCAGCACCTGCCCACCTATTACCTGAAGCAAAGGTGGGTCGGGCAGAGGGCTGGGGCAGAAGGCTGGAGAGTAGAGGAAGGAAGGTGGAGGGTAGAGAACTCCAGCTGGCAACTTCCCCAGCTCTGTTGCTTGCAGTGCAGAGAAATCCAGAAACTGGCCCTTGACAGCTATGCCAGAGAGCAGTGCTGAAGGGGGTGCCGGGCCCGGGGGGAGGTACAGGGGCTGTGACCTGGAAAGACATTGGGGCAAGGCAGGGAAAGGTGTCAGGGAGCCAGAGTCATCTATTCCTTTAGTCTGAGCACAACCTACTCCTTTAGTCCACTAGCACTTGGTACCTAGAAAACGTCTTCCCCTTCCCTCTCCCCTGAAACATGGCTCCATTTCCTTCTGACACACACAGGCATCTAGTCTTACCTGTAAGGGTGCACTGAGGGTGTCCCAGAGCGGAAGCCTCCATTGTTGGCATGTAACTGAGCATCTATGGCTCCCCCTGAGACCTACAGAAGAGCAAAGCTGGACTAACTCCAGTTTCTCTGGTCAAGAAAAGCTCACCCACCCACCAGCTACAGTAAAAAGAAGGAAAAAAATGAGATGACAAAAGATGTTCACACCTATACAAACTAGAGGCTTTATTGTAAGGGACAGCAGCAGAAAGGGGTCATGGGATAGGAAGTAGGTCCTACCTGAGAACTGGGAGGCCCAGGGCTGCCATAGAAGATTTCAGGGTACAAGCGCTGGCCTGAGGAGCTGGGCTCTGGGCCACAGTACCCGGAACCCAGGTTCTTGGACTGTGGTGGCGGCTCAGTGGAGGCAGAAGCACTAGGGAGCAGCTCCCAGTCTCGGGATATGGGAATGGCCTGCAAAGAAGACAACTTGTCAAGAGGGCTCTCTGAACCATCTCCAGAAACCTGAGACCTTTCCACCCAACTCTCCCTCCCCCACCTACCTCAGTGACTGATGCCGGTAGCTCCTTCTCTGCTTTTAAACCGTCTCCTACCACTAGGCGCAAGTCTGAGTCCTGTGATCATGAAGCAAGGGAAGAATGTCCCAAGATTTAGATGTGTCCTCCATGTCCCACCTCCAGTCCTTCCCTTCTCTCCACCCAACCCAAGAAACCCAGATCTAGCCCATGCAGACCTTGTCACTGGTGCCAAACTGGACTGGGGGCCCAGGTCGATGGGATGGCCGCAGGGAGCCAGGCTCTGGGCCTCGGTCTGTACGTTGCAATCGTTCTGTGCCAATGGGACCAGGGGGCAGAGGCTGCTCCCGGGGCAGCTCCTGGGTTGGGGTATATAGTGACGTGTGGATGGGGGAAGGAAACAGAAGCCCAAATAAGAAAATCCCCAGCACACACAGAATT